AAGGTTATTATCACTGCTACGTTTTGAATTCATAACAGTTAGTATGTAAGTGACTCTTGCTCATGATAAACTATCCTTTGGATATAGAACATGGGGACATCAAGCTTCCTCCCTACTGGCTAACTTTCAAAGTACTGAGAGATTTCTTCGATGTTGTTCTTCTAGAATTATTGTCAATAGTTCTAATGCAAACTCTGTGTGATACACTGTTATAATGTCAAATAAGATGTGCCTGTTGGTATAACAATGGCTGGAACTTCATGAATTGTAAGAAATTTTAAGAAAATCTTTCTAAATAGATTCACAGTCCATTTCACAGTACATAACTCTAGTCTTTCACTATAAGTTAGAACAAAAGCTTGTGAGTAGGGTAGTCAGTCATAGGTCCCGATGAAGAAAGAGATGCTATTAAATTACATATCTGTCAAATTTCCTTCAAGGCATTTGAATTTGTGCCCCAAAATTACTATTCTGTCAGCTTCAATCAGTTTTGGGGACCAAGTACTTTTACAGTGAGTGGTATACTGCAGACACCCTAAGAACATATGACTTGCTGTGACATGGTGGTTAATAGTGAGGAAGAAGGTATAGGTAGGATGCCCATGCAGAGAGCAGGAAGGTGGAGGAATTTGGGGCCAGGAAGTAAAAGAGATATCAGGGAGACACCAGGGCCCAGTCAGCCAGAAACAGAAGAAGAAGGAAAGTAGGGGATACAAAATGAAAGAAAGGTAAAAATCCTCATAGCAAAATGTCGCTGACTAGAAACAGGTTCATTTACAAGAGCTAGCGGGACAAGCTGAAGCTAAGGTCGGCCAACATAATTAATAATAAGTTACTGTGTCTTTATTTACTAAATTATGTTTACTCTCTGTTCAAATTGACAATAACAAAGGCAATAATAATCAGCAAACTCTCCTTTCTGAACAATCACAAGGCTAACTGAAGTACACAGGTTGATATGTGCTTCTTTTTTAACCATTTATTTGTTCATTAATATGTTGAATGGTACTTGTGTGTCTGTCTGTGTGTGTGTGTGTGTGCGCACGCGCGCACACATGCATGTGTGTGTCACAGAACATGTATAGAGGTCAGAAGAGAACTAAAGAGAGATGGTTCTCTCCTTCCAACATGCAGGTTTTAGTCACTGAATTTAGGTAATCTGGTTTGGCATAAAAAAATCCAACTCAATTAGCCATCTTATTAGGCTACCAGTTTTGTTCTTAAATAGACTTATTGTCCATTTTTGAAAGATAACTGATGATTTTGAACTTTTTATCTACACTGGTTAATGCAGTTCAAGCTAATAAACATTTCTGTAATGATTGAAATCTTGTTTGTTTTTACTTCCTAATATATTTGCCACAAATAAAATATAGTTGTTGACTAATTAAACTGAGACTAATTGCAACTGAGGAATTTTGGAATTCATCATGATTAATTGAAATAGCAACATGGAGCAAGTGTCCACTATGTCAGTTATCTGAGATATAGTTGGAATATTCTGTGAAGCTAAAATTGATTAAAAATAATAAGCCCATAGAACTGAAGAAATCGATTCAGAACAATAAAAAAATTCTTTTCACAAGCCCAAGACTTCAAAACACATCTATAACTTCTTTTCCCTTTTGGGAGGAAGGAAACTTTTTCACACTGTGGTGGCCACATTTATATAAATTGAAGCAAATGGTTCAAATCCTATTGTATCCAACTATCTGAGGTCATTCTTTGTTAGAGGACTAGGTATAAATTAAATTCAGAATCAAATTGCTTATTCCTTTTTGAAGATTTTGCAAAATTTTAATATTATGTTTTCCTACAAATGTATAGGCAAGCAGATTGGAAATGTTTGTTTCTGTTTAGCTTAAAGAACATTCAGGAATTAACCTAGAAGGACTAGTTTGCAAAAGATTTCATATTTTTAAAGCTTTAAGACAAATGTGTTCTGTAGAAGCCTATTTTTCCAAAGTCAATGTTAAATATTTTGTCATTTTGTGATTCAATTGCTTTACTTTTAGAGAGCATGGAAATAATCATGGTGAGAATATTTGTGTCATGAAAATTGACTTAAGTCAAGGTGTGTGTTTGTGTGTGTGTGTGTGTGTGTGTGTGTGTGTGTGTGTGTGTGGTCAGTAGAACAGGTTTTGCTTTTAAGAGATGGTTTCCAGGTGCGCTATCCATTAGAGCTAGAAACCTGTACTTGTAAATCAATGATAGGAATCAAGGCTCTCTTATTTGTATAAAATATTCAATGTAATTTGACTAAGCACATAGAACATTCATAATTAAGTACACTAAATGTCATGGTCAATTCAATTTTTGAGCATTCAAAAAGCCAAACATGCATTGTAACAAGATGAAAATAATGTATATGTGTGTGTGTATATATATGTATATATATTCTGGAAATCACACTTGTCTCTACCCTATAACATTCAATGCTCTATTTTTGAGATTATTAAATATTACAATATTTCTCCTTTGCCTTCATCCTTCCCAGACCTCTCATACACACTCATTGCTATCAAATTCATGGTTTTCTTTTTATAAATTGTCACTACATTCATATGTGTATTCATTTTAAGAAAACTTGAAAATTGGAGACAATTACAGCATATTAACTTATTATCAGTTTGTAAACATAGAGATAAGAATAAACTGAAAATTAATATATACAGTTTGGCAAATATTTTGTGAATTTTCATGAATTGAGTAAAATTAAATTCACTGGCTTTTTGAAACTTATTCCCTCATTTTACATATCAAATGTTGATATTTATTTGTACTTTAAATTGATTCTATTAATTAATAAACCCAAAGGTTTTTATGAAGGAAGCCACTGATACATTACTGAAAATGAAGTAAATTTGTTATAAAGATGCCAAATCTCATGCTTAAGACATTTATTTCCATATATTAAATATTAATATATATGATTATGTATAATTTGGACAAATGATGAATTTAATTTAGACATTTTGTAAAACAATGAGGAACATTTATTTAAGGATATTTTGTTAAACTTCTAGCAGAAATTATTCTATGAATATAAGCAAAGAAATGTGGCTTTATTCTAATCGTTTCTACATCCTCAAGTATTATTATAATAAAACTTTTCAATATGTATGCTTGCCCAATGCCCCCACAATATAACAGATTGAACTTTAAGTGTGTGTTTCAAAAAAACAAGTTCTTTTAAAACAATTTCTTTTAAAATAAAGATGAACGTTCAAAATGTACCTTCTTGTACTTTGGTATCATTTTACTAACTTTCTATATTTTAATAGCATTTCCTAACTTTTTGTGATGTTGTTTGTTATTAGTAGCTATACAGTTTCAAAATAATAGAAGTTTATTCAATTGTTTTTAAGTAATGTATTTGGGCATTTTGTTTACAAAAACAACTGTAATTCTCAGATAAAACTATGTGAAAAATTCAAACAAATAAGACAATCAACACATTCAGAGCTATATACAGTAAACAGACTTCCATTTGACTGAAATATGTAAGACTTTATAAAAATGATCACTTTCCAAGTTGAAGTCCATCAACTGTAATGATTTCCTAACATTATATCACTTCTTCTCCAAGTTTGATCTCATATATGTTTCCTCTGAATTCCTCTATTTTATTTGGCTATTTTCATATATTATCCATTAGTTTGTCTTAATAAAAGTTAACTTGAGAACTCATTTACCTCATATTTAGGCTGTGAATTCTTGTATGTCTGAAAGTATATCTTATCCCTTTCCTTTACTGATCAATATATTTGGGGTACAATATTTGTTAAATAAATGAAGAGAAGGAACTAACTAATGGGATTGACTGATTGACTCATCTCTGAACATCCTGTAAACTCTTATATCATCTCCTCATCAAAAGAAAATACATATTGGAAGGTATAGTTTATTTGCTATTTGAAATAGAAGATCAAAAGATGAGTCAAAATAATAAGAAACAGTAGTAATTATAACGTATGATTTGTTTCTCATTATGTAGTTACCACAAAATTTTGAAAAATTATGACATGTGATTTTGACTGTTTAACAAAGTATTATAACTTCCTAATGTTTGTTGGGCTTTGCATTTTATGTATGCTTGCACAATTGTGTATGCATTTGTACATGTGCATGCACAGGTGTGCATTTGCCTGTGTAGCTCAGGGCATGTGATCAATTGTCTTTCACCGTTTCTTTCCTCTTACACTCTATAACAGTGTCTCACAGAATAAGGTGCTCACTTATAGTCTAGATTGATTAGACACCATGCTCCTTAGATATGGCTATCTTTACCCTGTCAGAGCTTGGTTGATAAAGCTACATGACAATGGCTGGCTATTTTATGTGATGTTGGTTATCTGAACTAAGGTCTTCATGCTTGGGGGGGGGGCGGGGTAGCACATTATCAACTGAGCCATTTACCCAGCCAAACTGTATTGATTTTAACAAATATTTTTTTTCATATTATCTCTAGCTATCCAATGGATAGATACAAAATTACTGTGATTTTCAGTTACAATTGAAGTAATACATTTAGGAGTGTGAAGTATTGTAATTCAGGTCATTCAATCAATCAGTAGCAAACTAGAATTGGGACCAAAGCCTGCCTGAATATAACTAAAGTACAGTGAAAAATACCTTACAATTTTTCTCAGACTTAAAAAAATGTACAGTGGTTTTGCATAGCCTCATCCCACAAATGAGAATGTGTATTACATAATCCTCCACCCTGTGTTTGCTTTGGCTGCACATCCGATACGCTGTGCATTTGATTTCAAAACACAAGACTTGAATAAAAGAGAGATCTGTGGCAGTAGAAAGAAAACAAACCCAAACAATAGCAAAACATGACAGGCCTATTAAAAAACCAAATTAAAAATCACTGCACAGTAGTGGAGTCAATAATCTATGTGTTATAGCTGACAATTTAGTGGTACTGCTGATACTTATCAAAGCTTGTATATAATCAATACCTTTGTTTTCTTCAGAATAATGATTCCTACCTTTATAACAGAGGCACCAGCTCTGGAGAGTGGACTGTGAATCTGAGCTGCAGCAGCCATGTTGGCAATAGTATTGAGATGATTCATCTGATTCATTGCCATGGCAACTGATGCAGGAGGTAAGCTGACTGGAAGTAGGGGATGAGGCATCATCATAAATGGCAGATCCAGACCTAAAAGAGACAGTGTTCATTCAAGTTGTTACATTATGAGACTAAGAAGGTTTTCTAAAGCATCTTTATCCACTATTAGCATTTTATAGCTGTTTTAGTATACAGTAGTAACATTTTGTGCCATCAATTGTATCAGTAGGAATTTACAATGCTTAAAATATATCAAAAATCTCTCTATGTTCACATATTTCCTATTATTTCACTTCCTTTAACAGATTTATTAGGTGAGTTAATAAGGCAAGATACATGTTACCCAAGGTTCATATTATTAAAGAAAATAATGCTTTAAAAAAAAGGAATGCTTATAATTGCAATTTGAAATCTTTGTTAATAAAGAATAAATATCATGCTAAAATAAAAAACTCCTTTCCATTTTAATAGTAAATGTCAATGCTTTTTAATATTAGCAGGATTTCAATGCTTTCTACTGTAAATTGAAATAATGTTCATATGTTTTAGATATCTTAAATAATAACTCAATATTATGAATTCTACTTTTGATAGTCATACATGTCATTAGGTAAAATATTACAAACTAAAATAGTTGTTTATGGACTGCTTCTCATGTTGGTAGAGTTTAAAGCCATCATTAAACAGATGCAAGATATAGTTAGACTAGCTATGTGGATGTTAGCATTTTACTTACAAAAAATGTATTTACAAATTGTTTTGCTACAGTACTCTTCCTATTTTGGATAAAGCTCAGAAAACAATATTGTTAACATATGTTCTAATATATGTTAACCTTTTAAAACAACTTTTTATAAGCTATGGAAAGATTATTATGGACAGGACTCATACTGATCCTACTTACTATAACAAAATACTAACATCTAGTTTTTCTTCTCTGACACCCTTTTATTTTTTTTCTTCTCATTTCATAACAAAAAGGGAGCAAGAAAAAGTGTTTTCAGAAGACCCTGATATCTAATTTATCAAAAATACTACTAGTGATAATACTATCATTCAAACATGTGATTTAGGAAGCCATTTCATCCCACTCTGTGTATACATACATTTAACCTAAAATTTTAAAATGAAATGCAACTTAATTAGAGGCTATGAGCAAGAAGTGGTGGGTTATTTGAGGTCTCTCTTCTGAATCTGAATCTAATGGTTGATTTCAACCTATTAGAAAGTACACTGAAAGCATACAGCAGCAAAACAACCAAATTTAGGCTCTTGCAATACTTAAGTGAATATTGTAATTTTAAAGACTTCATAAATAATAAATACACCTGACACCCAGTATTTCTGTTGAAGACAGACATAAAATGCAGTTACTAGAGCTGCTCAAGGGCTAAAAGAAGCCTAGAAATCTAAATTATACTTAAAAGTCAAAAGAAAAGAAAAAAAACAGATCATTGTGACTATAAGATAAGAGACATTAACAGTTCCTAGCAGTATTGAATTACAACATTCAACATTTAAATATATGTTAGAAAGAATTTAGTAGATGAATATATCAGGTATAGAAGATTTTTCTTAGGGTTATTATATTATCAGACAAGTCTCAGCATTAAACTAATAACATTTACTTCAAAAGGGCTTTTCCTAGTATAAATAGTTATATTTTTTGTCAAATGAATGGTAAGATTAAGTCTTTATTTCAATTCATAATTTCTTTCTAATACATTTCTAGTAATCTACAAGAATATTTGGAAGTTATTGCTTCTACAATTCCTTTTTAATCATTTTAATATAGATTTATATATAAACATTTATATAATTATGGATAGATACAAAGTCAAATTACAATGATGTATTTAATGTGGACAACACACAATATATTCATTTCCTCGAATACTTATAATTCTGGAGAGTATTATGTTCAGTGAAATAAACTAAATATATAAAGATCACATGATCTCTCTTATATGTGGAAATTTTTAAGGTAGAATTTTACAATCAGTCACACAAAATTACTTGCCTATTTCCCCATCCCAGGGGGATCTATATAAGTTTCTCTTAGGGTTCACCTTGTTACTTAGCTTATCTAGGGTTGTGGATATAGGGTCCTTATCCTTTCCTGTACAGCTAGTATCCACTTATGAGTGAGTATATACCGTGTTTACCTTTCTGGGTCTGGGACAAGCTCTTCTGACAAAATTGGGGTCACAGGGCTGGGGGGAAAATGAAGGCAGAATGAGAGAAGGAGCAGATAAGGTGACGGTGGAGAACTTGAGGGAATGAGATTGTCAAGATGGGAAAAGAACAGAGATGGAGAATAAGGAAAAAGATATGTTGATTGAGGGAGCCATTATGGGACTAGTAAGAAACCTGGCACTAGAGAAATGCCCAGGAATCCACAAGGATGATCACAGATAAGATCCTAAGCAATAGTGGATAGGGTGCCTGAACTGGCCTTGCCCTGTCATCAGATTGATAACTATCTTAAATGTCATTGTAGAGCCTTCATCCAGCAACTGAGGAAACAGAGGAAGAGACCCACAGTGGAGCACTGGACTGAGCTCCCAAAGTCTAGTCGAAGAGAGGGATGAATGAGAATATGAGCAAAGAGGTCAAGACCATGATGGGGACATCTACTGAAACAGCTTACCTGAGCTGATGGGAGATCATTAACTCTGGCCAGACAGGGAAGGAACCAGCATATGACTAAATTAGACCCTCTGAATGTGGGTGACAGTTGTCTGGTACAGACGTCTGGGCCACTGGCAATGGAACCAGGATTTATTCCTACTGCTTGTACTGGCTTTTTGGAACCCATTCTCCCTGGAAGGATACATTGCTCAGTATAGATATAGTAGGGAGAGCTTTGGTCCTTCCTCAAAGCAATGTGCCTTACCCTCTCTGAGGAGTGGATGAGGGGTAGGGTAGGGGGTAAATTCGAGGGAATGGGAGGAGGGAAGAAAGTGGGAACTGGGATTGGTATGCAACATGAAAAAAGATAGTTTAGGAAAAGAACACACAGGAAAAAAGAAAACCATTTTACTCCAAAAAATATCTGAAGGGAAGTTAACATGATTGTCTCATTTTAAATCTTATCTAAAGAATTATAAAGTGAGGGGACAAATGACTTTTCATTAACAAGAAATATTTGCATATACATGTGTTTATATACTCTACTAATCATATATTTCAAGCTATCATGACAAAGTATTTAATAACATGATAATTAATTATGATTCACCTTTATCCTAAAAACCTTTACCTAATATTCCATATAACAAGCATCAATAACCTTCAAAGACATTCTCCACAAATCCAAAATCACTTTAGAATTTGATTCCTGTTTATGTGCACAGTGCTTTAGTCACAAATTAAACTGTAGATTAAAAGCTGCTCTCAATGTCTTCCTTTATTATTGAAAAGCTTTAATATGCTTAAATTTATACTTCCCTTAAGAGTATAATAATCTTTTCTCATTTTCAAATGCTATTCCAGCATCACCCAGACACCATCTGGACACATTAAGAAATATGCTTACTTAAAGTTCAATCGACATGTAAACTAAATACAAACTGCAAACAGAATTTAACAGTCAATTGGCAGTTTTAAAATACCATTCAACAAATATTTCAAATAACCACGAAGGATTTACAAGACACACTTTTAGATCCTGATCTGCAATAATTAATTATCAATTGACTGCAGTTCCTTGAACTCTAAGCTAATATTTACATTACAGGGCAGTTACAAATGCAAAGCATATTTAAATATTGAATGATTTAAGGTAATCCTTCGCTAAAGTTAGAAACATTAAATTAAAATCCAATAGTATACAACACTATAGCAATGTGGTTCATTAAATTCATGGGCAAGATATGCATATATGGTAATAAAAATAAATCTGATTTAAAAATCATGAAAATGAATTTTCTCATTCCTGTTACCAAGGACATAATACAAGCTATAATAAGCATCATTTCTATTATACCTTAATATGCTAGCAACTACCACCATTTTTATTAAAAGACATGTATTACCTGCTCCTAGCCATGAAGGGTGTACATTTCAGTAAAACTTCAATGTCCTTCTAAATATGACATCAATTTGTCCCAAGTCATGTTTGTTGATTTCTGTAGAATCTATTTCTATAATGATATCAGACAGCAGTCCCTTCAATAACAATTACAATGTTTCTGGTTATTATTCCTACGTCATTTCAGTTATCCCTCCACTCCAATTTCTAGACTTCCAATGACTCCTTACTACCACTAAAATAAAGGACACCTTCCATAAACTTGATTATTGCATTTCTTGTTTTGTGATTTCATTATGTTTTTGCATGTATTCTTCACTATAGCCTCACTGTACAATTTGTATTTCTCTGAAGAAATGACTAACGATAATATTGCCCCACATAAATGAATTTCTCTGGAATTGTATCTCTAACACAACACAACACAACAGAAATTAATGGCTTTTTACAACAAGCTTTGTGGTAGGTTTTATTATCCCGATTTTATACGAGGAACACATAACAATTTTTTAAAATGAAATTAATTCATTAAAAGATAATTTGCTTCTCTTATTGGTGAACACATGTTTGGTTTTCCAATGTAGATACACACCACCAACCAAAATCAGACTAAACATATTATATTTATATTTTTATGTATTTATGTTTTTATACACATATATAGAGGAGGGAAAAAGTGATGAATTCTATCTCAATTCATAACATTAAAAGGCTACTTTAGAACAGTTTTAGGTTTATAGAAAAGATAAGCAAAAATTTGCTATACAGTACTCCTTTTTATGCTTACACAAATGGCTAACCTTATCAGTATCTTACATTACTATATTATATTGTTACTATCAGCTTGTCATTACTTATAAATTATTATTCATCAAATTCCACAGTTTATACTAGAATTCACTGTTTGAACTATATCTCACCAGATATTCAAACTGCATAATATCTTGATCTATGGTTTTAAGAACATACAAAATAATTCCAATACATCAAGAACTGTACTGTCTTTTTCTTAAGCTTTCTATTGTACACAACCTCTGGTAACTACTGATCTTTGTTC